CCCCCCCCCCCCCATGCTTAAGATATACCGACATTATTAAAAGTACTTTTTTAAAATGCATAGCTTATTTCTAGACTGTTGCTGTTTGCTTTCTTATTTATAGATATTCTTCCCTATTTGCTTGAGAGTGTTTTCCCATTTAGAAGTAAAAAAAAATGTGAAAAATATATTGAAGGTTTGGGAAAGATTGGATTCGATTTTCCTTTTCCAAAATGGAGGGGGTAGAGAGCAGGAGGAGATCTGTGCATGGAGTACCTTGAATCAAGTCCTCTTGTGGGAGGCTTCCCCCTCTCCTATATGGGACAAAACTGCCATTTTAGGTCTAAATTTCCCATGTTTTGAAGAGTTACACGGCCCTTTAGCTAGGACTATTCTAAAACCTAAATTTATCACCTTATCCCATTCATACTTGGCCAGAGGGAAATGCTACCTCAGGGTGATGGGAAACATGCTATTGTGTTTTTTACAGTAAAGACTGTTTGAAGTAAAGGCCTCCATGGGAACAAGTTTCCATTCTTTCAGATGTCTCTGAAAGTGTATCTGACTTACAATGTATTTTATAGCTTAGAAGGGCAGAAGAAAATTTAGGGAACCGCAAAAATTTTTTTGTCTTTTTTAGAATAAGTGTCTTTTGGGGCTACCAGTCTTGAGAAGAATCTTAAAAATCCACTAAACATTTGCTGCTGCTTTGCCTGTACTGGCTTCTCATTCTCTCTGACACTGTCCTTCCTACATAAAGCCATTCTGCTGTTCCTGATAGTCATGGAAACTTGGGAAGGGAACCAAACCCATGTGAAAAATCTTGTCCAGAAGGAATGTATTTGTTGCTAAATTTTCTAGCACTGTTTACAGTTTTCCTCCATGTTATTTATAAATTTTATATTCAGTGAATGTATGTTGTCTTTTAAGGTAATGTTGCATAATGTTCACTTTTTATAGTGTCCTTTTATTCTAAACAGTAAAGTGGTTTTATTTCTATCACAGACATTCTGTCTCTGCTTCACTTATATTAGTTTCTGTCCACTTCAAATGTACACAAATGGATTTGCAAGTGGATTTATTCACTTCCTTCCCTTTCTTGATACTGTTTTATTGGGCCCAAAGCAGATATTCCACCTCTGGCAATTCTTGCTCTTTGGCAAAGATCCCTCCAGCAGTCCCTCCCTCTTTTTAAGAGGTTGATCTCTCTAAGAATTGTTATTGGGGTGGTAAGCCCAGGAGAGGCAAAAAATCCCCTTTGAAGTTAATGTATCCCACTTGTTAACTGGCCATAGGGGGTCACTGCAGAGCAAGGCAGTCATTATGGCTGTCATATAGCACCAGTAGAGCCTTAGAAGAACAGTTGCCAGATTGCTCTTATTTCCAGTAAACTGATCACTGGGGGGAGGGTAGAAAGGGACATGCCCACGGCAAAAGGAAGGGAGATTCATCTTTTGGATCTTTCCTGCTGTGAAATGTCGGAGCCTTGTGTCCTCTGTTTATGTTTACTGTTTAAGGCTGGTTAAAAATGCCCTGTTGTCGTAAGAAGGAAGCTTCAGAGAAAGACTTCTCAACTAAATTAAAATGCTCACAAAAATGGGCCTACTGTTAGAAATTTACTTTATCTCACTTTTACATTAGGCAAATCTCTCTTCTCTACATGGATGAAAGAATGAAACAGATTTTTAAATCTGTTCTACGTTGTAATCCAAAGGTTTAGAAAGTAAGCTTTGGAAAGTTTTGGACATAGAAGGATGAGGATCTTTTATGTGAGAACTTCATTGCTCAAAGTATATCACATTGCAAAGAGGTAAAACCATAACACTAGTTATAAACACTTCCAGGGGGTCAGCCATCAAAGGACCACAGCATATTTTACAAGTGCTAACTGGTACAGCTTGAAAATGCCTCCAGGAAAGGGAAGAAAAGAGTGGGGAAGGGGGATCATTATATTCCTATCTGACACATGGAGAAGCTGGTGCACAGTGGGCAAGCAACTTTCACAGGTACTTGGTGGAGTGATGACTGCAATGGAGCTTGCTTGGCCTAAGCACTTGCCCTCTCAGCCTCTCGCAGCCCAGGATACTGTGAAGATGCATCTAGAAAAGATCTTGAGAAGTTGACATAGATTCATTCCGTGAGGCAGACCCCCCACCTGGAAAGGGCTGGCCTGAATTTGCCCAAGTGGTTTGTTGCTTGTGTAAATGTTTGGAAAGTGACTGATTTAAACCAGATTACTCAAGCTTGCATATCAACATTAGTGTTTGTGTTCACATGAGATTATCTACAGTTTAAAAAGGTTCCTGTATTATTTTGGAAGTAAGCAATAGCATCTGCAAATAAGCGATAGCATCTCCAAGTAGGTGATCAGTTACAAAGATGACAAATACGTGAAATTAAATCAGTGCTCTGCTAAACGAAACTACTGTGCTGCTAATATGCATTTACATGCTGAGGAATCAAGAATCAGATTTCCAGACAAGAAAATAAGGCTAGAATTGTTAGCTAGCATATTTGCAATGAATTCCAAAAATACCATTCCTGAAGTGATGGTCACCAAAGTCACACTGTCCTGAAGCATTACATATGTCACAAAACCTTCTTTATAAATCAGTGGGAATTAAATGCAACAGGATCTATCAACTAATTTGTCTTAAAAGTCTGCAACAAACCGTCACATGGTGTTTAAGGACCATCCATTTCTTTATGTCTTAAATGATAATATAACTCTTACCACTGCATTACTTGAGTGCTTCACAGCACTCATGACTGTACTTACCTCCATGACGTGGCTGTGAAGTATGGAAGCGCTGTTGTCCACACAGGACAGGTAGAGAACAGAGTATTGGAACAGAGAGATGAAGGACGGGCATTTCAAGGTATTCAGGTACCTAGTGAGCACCGGTGGGATTTTTCACAAGAAACTAAATGAGGCTTCCTTTTGAATTTTGAAGATCCCACTAGGTGCCTATATTCACCATCAGGTACCTACACCCTATTATGCATTGTGGTTGGCCCACAGTGTTGCAACAAGTGTGTGAGAAAAGAGGGGTTTGAATGTTTTTGAGCCCTAGTTTGACATCTCAACAACCCTAATCTTCAGGCTGCCAATGCTGCTTGAGTTCACAATCAAGTGTGGGAAACAAGCTGAGACAGCCAACGGCTCACACGGGGGGTCATGGTTCACACAGGGTCACATCAAAGCCTCAGCCAGGTAAGAAGAGCCACTAATTCATGGATGTAAGTTGGGAGCAAAAATTCATGAAGGACTACCCACCCTTTTAACCCAGGGAAAACAAAAGACATGAACAGTTTTAAACAAAGCCACTCGCTTTGCCGCGTTCTCCAGGACTAAAGGCACCTACGCAGATCTCTTTGGGAGGTGCCTTAAGAGTTTGGTACAGTGCCCAGTAGCCACACAGGGCACTGAGTGTTTAGTTGTTGACAGGAAGACTAGACCCCAGAGCCACTGTGCAAAGGAAACGTTACAAGCTGAAATAACCTCTTTTTCAAGAACTCCAATTTGCTTTGAGTACCTAGCCAGGCTGATAAATGTTTCATGGATGGCAGACCAAGCAAACTGACACTGTGGAACAAACATCTCTTACGGCCCATGTCCCAGATTATCAACATATTTTCAACAATTCCAGGAGGCGAAAAAATCCACTTTATCTGAATGAAGTGATTCCTTACTCTAAGGGATGAGCTTTTGTTGATTAGATTTTACAATGGATTTTTGTTTTGGTGTTGAGCCTGTTGTAATCTTTCACTTTTTCAGGGTCCTTACGTGACCTGGGGGAGGGCTGGGCAAGAAGGGAAAGGGTTTCCCGAGCACTGCTTTTTGCATATTGCTTTTAGCTAGTAATTCTCTGGAAGTAAAACAGACTCTTCCCAGCATTCCCACTGCTATCTCTTTGTGCCTGACTCACATTCGTTGCTTCTCCCCCATCCACCCTATAGTCAGAAGAAAGCAAAGGTACTCACCATCTGCTTATGGCTTGGGAAGAACGTTTGCTCCACGAGGGGGAACTTCTCAGGCCCCAACGAGTTGAAGATTTTAATGAGCTGAGAGAACTTGGGGTGAGGGGGGGGAACAGAAAAACAGACACAGTGGATGTCAGTGGCGTACTGTGTAGCAGGTAAGTGCTTGCAAAATGTTCTGATACTGGTGAAGGAGGTGAGAGAAACATGTTATTATGCCTTTCCCACCTTGCTTTCTTGACCTGAGAGCAGCAAAAAATATGAAGTTGCTGTATTTACCCAGGGCCAAGCCAGCCTGTACACAAACCTTGGACTAAGAGAGCAGAGAAGGGTTTCAAGAGCCAGAAGGGGATCAGTTTGGGTTTAGTTACAGATCCGCTATGAACAAGCTTCGTGGCTGTTCTTGGTAGAGGAAAGGGCTCAGAGGAGTGACCAGGCAGGAAATCAGTGCCACCACTCCTGAGCAGAGACAAAATAAATCAAAGACCTCCCTTAGATCTCTGCCCCACAGCCAAATCAAAGCAAGGCGTATTTACCCATCGTGCTGAAGAGAAGGAGTATTGCTAAGGGACAGAGATGGCTAGAGGGAATTGCCTGTGCTACCTGGTTTGAGTGTTAGATGAAGGAAGCATAAGCCCACCGGCAATCATAACTGACATCTATTATGAACCAAGGGTCTCCCAACAGCCCCCCATGCATGGCAGGAGAAAGGGGAGATCATCTGCTACCCCTGTTCCCTCTACCAGTGGGGTCGGAGGGAAGCACCAGTCTGTGAGGATGGTATCTAGAGAAAGCAGTATGTAACGTCAATGGGGAATGCAACAGTGCTGGTATTTCATGTACAAGGGTGAACATTTGCCATCATCCCAGCCTGTCAGCGTGAACTTCACCATTATCACCACTCTCATCACTATTATAAACTGTTTATCATTCAGGGTTGTGCCCAGCCAGACACAAAGCTCCCCATGGTAGGACTGTTTTGATTTCTGTTCAAATTCCTGCTCCGCTTCGGCCATCTGTGAAGCGAGCAGACACAGACTGTACATTGTCTGCAGCCTCCCTGTTCAATCTGTCATTGATCAGCTGGAAAAAAACCCCAAAACTGTAAGTGAGAAACTTAATAATCATGACAGAAAATGTTGCTGAGGCAGGGTTGGTATACCAAAGAGAGTAGGAGGTGATATATATATACCAGAAACCTTCTAGATCTCAGGAGCAACTTAGATTCTTTACAATCACACCTCTAGCCATTCTGCTTTATCTCTGAAGAGGTACAGCCCTGTTACCACGGAAAATGCTGAACTGGCAGTGCTGTTGGTGAAGTGGTTAGACTGGCAGCCTTGCAGAAGGGGGAGTTAAGCTGAATAAGGTAGCTAGATTATTTTCATGGACATTAAGAGAATAAAATGATTGGGGATTGCTCCGCAGATAAGAATCTTGTTTCCTGCTGAGCTGGTAGATGTGACTGAATTCCCCATTGATGTCCTATTTCCAGAGTAATTTAGAAACTGAATCTAGTTTCCAAGCCCCCTGGAATTTGGTAAAATCAAGTTAAATTAACAAAGGCCTCCAGTCTGAGCCAAGTCTCACTGTAAGTCCTTTACAAAAGTTCCTTCAAGTTCCCCATCAAAGCTAGGGGTGCATTCATCTGGAAGATCTTTGTGTCACCTGTGTGACAGGTGGTAACACACAGGGAGGTAACAGACAGATTAAGGGAAGGAGACAGACATCTAGGGAACAAGGGAAGGGAAAGAAAGCCCTCTTTCTTCCCAATAGCATCAACTGCCTAATCTTATACGTTCTGAGCACTTCCAAGCAATGGCTGAAGCCAGTAAATGTACCAAATTGTAACCCCAAAGTAACACTGCAGATAAAGAGAGTGCTACTGAGAATGTTTTCTGCTGAGTAGCTACATTAGGGCTCCTGTCCGGGGCTAGTTTAAGCAAAAGCATTTCTGTATAAGACGCTGAAACTTCACTTGGTGGTGGAGAAGAAATACCCCTTTGGAAGTTAAAGGGTGGTATGGGTGTAAAAAAATGCAGCCAGTGTGTAAAAAAATTAGGCTGCAAGGTGTGTGCCAGTCCCAGGCTACATGCCGAAGGAGCAGCTGCCAGCAGATTTGCAGACAAATGCAAAGAATCTTTTGGCATTTAAGCAAACCCAGAAAACATCAAGAGGCGGTATATCCCATCACTAACACCACCAACTCCCTCACATGCATCAGCAGATAAGAGAAAAACTCCCCGTGTAGAATAATTATCATTGGCAAGAAGAGTATTGATGTTGGGGAAGGAGGACAGCTTGCTTCTCTTAACTACTTGCACTAGCCCTGCACATCCTAGAGAAGAAAAATAAAGCCCTGTTTTGACTAGCAAAGTGAGCAAACAGGGCTTAAAAATTAAACGGAATGAGACAGAGACGGGGAGAGGAGGAAAAACACCCTGGCTGAGAGCAGCACATGCCCCTCGCTGTGCATACGCACAACCCTGGCGAAACATGGACGCTGTGACATTGAGGCGACATACGTTTATCCTAGGAAAACAGCTCAAACAAAATAACTGGAACAACTGTGCAGCTGACAGACAGCGTCCTGACTTGTTCCTTGGGCTTCCTTTTTAAGCATACAGCTCTTGGCTGTTGCTGAAATAACAAGCGTTTCAGATGGACAGATGAGAGACTCGGCCATCTGGGAGCCTCCTCAATGGGCCAAGCCTGCAAAAAGGTCTGACTTTGGTATTGACCCTTATGGGACAACTACCTCCTTTTTTCCTTTTTTTTGGCAATTGTTAAGGACAGGATATTGGCAAAGAGACACCCATGTTACATGGTCCAGCAGCCTCTTAGATACCTGATAGCAGAGCTCAAGTAGCACCTCCCAGTGCATTTTAGATGGGTAGAAGGAATGTTACTGTCAGCAGCTCAGCTAGATATAACTGCCCCTTCCACATTTTGGTATCAGTTCTTACTTTCTGTGGTTCCACTGTTTTTAGTGAGATTGCATCCAGACCAGAAAGCAAGACACAGGGCAAGGCAATGTGGCACAGTCTGGGTTTTAAGTGAGATGCCTTGCCTGGCTGGTTGGACATCAGAGTTACTGGCAGGGAGTCTTCACAGAGGAATAAAAAGATCCATTCAGAGGATCTCAAGGCCTTTTGCATATTTTTAAAGTGCCTAGGTCATCAGGGAGCCTATATCCCTTGACAGTCAATAACAGTTTGGCTGGGAGCCTCTTGGACTCTGTAGATGACTGTCAAGACTTCGTATTTCCTGCAGTCCTACAGGTGCAAAAGTTGCCTTACAATTATGGGCATTACTGCATGTAATATGAGTACTACTCTGAGCATTGTTCCCACTGTACTTCATATTGTAACTTTTATAACACAAAAATTATTATTAATGGTTGAAGCATTGTGTTTATGGTGCTTGTAGCATTATTTCTCAATAATTCTGGGATAATCTTAAAACTTAGGTTTCTTAGATGTTTCTGTGTGACATCCCCCTTAATATGTCTGTTTCTCTTTCAGAAACACCTATTTCAAACTGTGCCTGTGTTTAATGCAAATTTTAACCTTTGAAGAAATTTGTGTATTGCAGTACTAGAAACCTGGCAAATGTCATTAAAAAAATGGGGCTGCATGTTTGAATAAACCCAAGCCCAAACTCAGCTGATTGTAATTAGAGTTGCTGAGAAAAAAACGTTGTTGCAAATTGCCAAGGAAAAACAGTCTCACTTCCATCCCCCTCCACAAAATCATAAACATTTCTATGAAATGGAACCATTTTTGGAAAAAATAAAAAGGGAGAGTGAAAAGCATATTTCCCAGGGGTATTTAATTTTATTTCTTCATGTATCTCAACTGTTTTCTAGGTCCAAAAAGTTTCCAGTAATCTTTGTTAAGCAGATCCCTTATTTCAAGATGCCTGTTTTGCAATCAGAGTGGAACATGCACCGAAGTGGTCTGTCCCTATCTCTCATTTCCCAGCCATCACAAAATCAAATTTTTCTGATTCCACTGCCAGTGAAGCTTTCTGCCCTCAAATGCCCCACTGTAATCTCTACCTGAGCTTCAACCTGATAAAATTTCAGTGGTGCCAAATACCAGCTCAGATCCCATCTGAGCTCTTAGATTACTTAGTGCGTTACAATCATTGTTTTGGGGGGTGATGTGTGTGTGGGGGCAGTAGGGAAAAGAGGCATTCTGCAAACCTGTTTCAAGTGTTTACAAGTGGTTTCCTTGACTCCTCTGGGAAGGTTGTCTGAGCCAGCTGTATTCCCCGTGAGGAAAGCATGGCACAACCGGACCCAGAATAGCTAGAGCCAAGTTACTGGCAGAGCCAATTTCTCCCACACTGCCTTGCCAACCCTGCTTTTTCTTTTTCTTTTTTGTTTTGCAATGTGCTGAGTTTGTTTGTTTTCTTTTATTTTAGATTCCTAAAAATAATAGGAAAAATAGGCCTGTCACATCTTCAGGCCCCTGAACACCATCAGAAACGTAATTACAAGGCATGAGTTGAAAAATGTCAACTAAACCCTGACTGACTCAACCCCAAAATCAGATGGAATAGACCACATGACTCTCTTCCTCAGCAAAAGCCAGTGTAAATGTGGAGGCTTTTTGTCTAGTCAGCGGGGTCAATACGCTCGTGTGTGTAGGACCAACTGCAGGAAACAATGCAAAGGTGTTGTACTGAGCCTGGTATTGATCCCTCTCTCCCCCCCCTTTCCGTTCCCAGCAACCCTTGTCATTCAAATGGGGACTGAGGCCAAATGTGCATCATCTACCTATACAGTGATGGAAAAGCGAGATTTTTCTCACTACTCTCATTATTGCACTGCAACATTTTTGGAAAAGACAGGACTTGGCTTTTGGTCTCAACAAAACCCCCAAATGTCATAAAAGGGGTGAAAACTGAGAAGACTATGTCTATTACACTGGTACCTTTTTGGTAAGAAATGAGTTAAATCCAACACTGCACAGTCATGGAAATAAAAGTGTGAGTCATTACAGACCTCAACTGGATTTGAACTACCAATGAACACACTGAAGTCTAATAGGATATTTATTCCAAGGAAAAAACAACAACAACAAAAGACTTAATTAGGTAATGAGGAAGATAGTTACCACTTGCTATAAACATTCCATCTCACCCCAGGCTAAATTTGTGCAATGAGTAAGGGGAATTCCTAAAAACGTATCTAAAAGTTTTCCATGGGGGGCATATTGGAAAGTCCCATCTCTTTGTCACATCCATATAGCTTGTAGTTCTGTGCTTCGGACCTAGAACATTGCAGGGAAATTTCCATTCTGGGAGCATCGGTGATCAGAGAGGGCACTTAGGGATGAAATTGCTTGGAAGACCCACATGTGGACTCCAAAATGGTATCAGCATCTGACTTCTTCCAGCAGCTGCTACGATGGCCAGCCTTGCTTCTGTGGCTCACGATGGCCAGCCTTACTCCTCTGGCTCTCCTGCTCCTGCAGTTCCTGCTGACTTAGAGCTGGTCATAAAACAGGTCTGGGGAATTATTACAAACTTTGATTTGGGGCTGAGGCAAGCCAATGATAATATTTTTTAAGGTTTTCTGAGATTTTTAGGTGAGCTTGACAAAATTTAAAGAACAGGTGAAGGGGGGTCCCAGTGCAAAATACCAAAACACTGTCCTGTTCTCCCCAGGAGCCGATTCAGCCCAAGGTGTTTCAGAGGTGCAACAAAGCACCACCCAGAAAAAGTAGGAAGAGAAGACAAGAGAAGACAAGTGCAGGTTGCACTTCTGCAAGGAATGGATAATCTTAGTCTTAGGCTGGGGCACCTGGATACCACAAGTGTGCATCTAATAAATGATACTAGTAATAGCGTAGTTCAGATACCTTCTGAAACAGCGAATGTTAATGTTTCTTTTAAGGTAGTTTTACCGTGTTTTGGTCAGGACAGAGACGTGCTACTATTGATCTGATATTATTAATCTATTGCTATTCATCTACTCTGCCTTACAAGAAATCTAGGTGTTACTGTACTGTTAGCTGTTTGTGACACATTAGAGTCTGGGACAGGTGAAACGTCCTACTCAGGGTGAGGAAATAACACCTTGATATTACTAGAGGCTGATAAAGGAGCAGTGCTGGTAGTTTTTTCCCCCAAGAATTCCCAGCTGGATTCCTAAGGTTGTTTAGATGGTGGTTTTAACCTAAAGAGATGAATTCCTATGAAATAGACTGGAAGCTGAGTTTGGTGCTTTATCGGCACCGGATATCTACTTTGCAGTGTTGGCATGCAGTAGAGCTGGATCATCACTTACCACCCAGGGCTTGCTGCAGAAGTTGTAGATGGAGTAGAGAGAGTTGACCGTGTGGATGCCACCGTACTGGAGGCCGATGATGAGGCTGCGGAAGTCCTCTCCCAGCGCCATGCTGTAGGCATGCTGCCGGATCAGGACAAAGTCTGGCTTGAAGGACCTGGAAGAGATGAGGGGAGTGACATTTTACTTTCAAATGCTCAGCAACACTTCTAGTGTCTCCTTGTTTCTTTGCCATCCTTCCCCTTTCTTTTCATTAACACGTTGCTCTTCTTTGGGCCTCTCGTCATGGGTTGCTTGCGTTAGAAGGTAACAAACTAAACAAAAACCCCTAGTAATTAAAAAAAGGAAAAATCCAACATAGCTGCATGTGTGAGAGCATACAAACAGGCCAAACAGATTTGCTGCAGTTTCCATGTCACTCAGGCACGCGCAGGAACAAGCCACAAGCGGAGCCAAGGGTCATAAATTCACTGGTGGGGGGATTCTCTCTTCTTTCTAAAAGCTTGGCCATATTTGGCAAGCTCATTGCAATGTGCGACGCAGATGAGGGAGAAAGTTTGTTTCCTGACGATTGAACTCAATATTGAAGCAATGCCCAGTGGGTGGGAAGATCATAAGGGATTTCAAAAAGCTATCGTACACATCCATACATTGACATACATTCCCCGTTTAATCAGTTTACTACATACGCAGCACATCCCAGGCTCTTACAGCTATAAGTCAACAAGTAAAGGGCAGGCATGGTAATGTAATTAATCAAATGAGCAGAGCCCCTTATCCAGTGCTGTGACTCATGGTGTGGACTTCCAGAATATTATTTAGCAAGACTGGACCCGGGACTCCTATGGTTCAACAGCAGCAGCTCTCAGCAAACGCACAGAAAAGTGAGGCATTTTCTAGGTAAGCCAACAGGCGACGGATTATCTTTCAAACAGCCAGATTTCATTCCTTGCTGACGCTGTGTCTTTGCAGCCATTCAGGAATCTCTGGAAACAGCAGCTGGAAAGAAACTGTTCCCAAAATGGAGCTCAGCAGTTCGTTCTCGAAGGCATGGAAGGGGCTTTTCCACTGAAACAGGGGATTATTTTATACTTTAACAGAGGTTGCATCAAGGACATTGGAAAAATTTCCATGCTGTATTAAAGTTTTTCAGAGAAATGAGCTCTGTAACCAGGTCCCATTACCTCACTACCCTCGAACATTTTCCTTGCTAAGAGACTATAATTTCTATCCTTGGGATGTATGAGCTGGAAATACTTTGGGTTTGTAGCCCCTATTTATATTTCCATCATTCTGGCAGGGAAATCCGAGATGGTAACTCTGGGCCAGATTGTGGCAACAAACACTGTATACAAAACCCAGCACAGCTTTGTTGTTTTAAAGCTGTTCATTTTGTTTGTTGGCCTTGGACTTTCGTTATCGCCTGAGACATGGTGAGGAGCATGCTCTGCTTTTGTGATGCAAGAGGCTAAGCTTTGGAAATGTTGTGATTCCCTCCCATGGAGTATTTTTAAACCCAGGCATGTTCCCTAATGTACTTGGCACCAAAGGTGGTGCTTTCCTCCAGCAGCAAGATGCATAATGAGCATCAGGAGGGCTGCGCTATCACTGTGCAGCGGATTTATGGACCTCCCTGGTGTCAATGGGGGTGAGGCAAGCAGTGACCCCCTGCTGAGGAACAGCAAGTGAATACAAATCTTGGAAAGCTTGAGCTGCTCTATTCTGCTAGACTTGCCATGTAGAAAGTACCCCAGAGGCAGGCACAGGTCCTCAGGAAGGATTAATCGTCTTCCTAGGACCAGGACTCGATATCTGCGCTGAGTTACTAAACAGTTGTGGTGCCTGGAGGGGCAGGAGCTTCAGGTGTGTCCCTCATTCATTCGGCTTTCTGAGCATATGAAGAAGAAAATGGTCGCTGTTACAGCTCAAGTCTTTCCCCAGGCTTGACTTAGGGAGCAGCACTTACTGGGGCTGCACGGTAATGGTTCAGACCATTGCTCCTGTCTCCCCAGAGGAAGCGGCAGTATTTGCCCTTGAACATCTCCCCCAACACCCCGGGGTGGGGACACGGTGCTGTGGTGGGGAGGAAGCATGCAAATGAGCATGGCCAGCTGGGGGGTAGGACACACAGCGGCTGGGAAACTGCCTTCAGTGGCTTTACTTCTGCCAGTGAAAAGTTTAGGAAAAAAGCTCTTGTTTTTTCAGATCCTGGCAAAGGCAGAGTTTCTCAACTTACAAGATGGACACAAGAATACAGAATTAACATAGAAAAGCCTATTCTCAAACTCTGCATCGTGTAGGAAGGCAGGGAACTCTCTCATGCAGCAGATGAGGAGTGAATCCCTAAAGCGAAGGTGGACACTGAACCCCTGTTTTGAGCCGCGGGACAATGAGAATGTTCCCATGGATACTGAGAACAAGGCAGAGGAGTGCAGGGCCTGGGACTAGCTGCGAATAAACATCAGCTGGAGAGCCCCAGAGTCTGCAAGATGTCTGTAGCAGAGAAACAGAGACCAGTGGCAAAATGTGAGGCGAGGGGCTGGGAAGGATAGCAGGCACTAAAAGGGAAATGGGTAGTCATGGTAGGAGTGGTGGCATGAAAACTGAATAACTGGGGGTACCAGTGATCTGGGGAGAAAAGAGCTTAACTGCTTCACAGGAGGATTCTTGCTTTTTTGGTAGAAGATCACTTTTGCAAGCTACCTCTCATTCTCAGAGTGCAAAGCTTAAGCTAACATAGAGAGCCTTGGATTTGGAATAGCTAGTAGCATAACTATTTTCTTTGCTAGTTCAACCCAACCCAAAAACATCTCCCATGACAGAAAGTTGAAATCCTTGGCAGACAGACAGGTTAGGCAGAAGTCCCACATTTGAAACAGCGTTGCCAAAACCTTTGGGTGAACCAAACTCAGTAGCACCTACTATGCTGAGGTCCTAAGCACCCGAGCCCGGCAGGACTAGGAGAGCTATGGCAGGAGCACATACCTTTCCTCTCCACTAGATCTGTCCAGCCAGCGTTTAGATGACCACGAGTGGTCTTGAATAAAACTGTACCTAGACCCCTGCTAAAGACAGGTCATGGGAATGGGTTTGGTCACAGAAAGAATACAGGAAAGCTCATTCAAACATCTAATGGGCAGGGAGATAGCATAGGTAAATGGAACTAAAAGTAAACCACAGATTTAAAACATGTTGCTAATAAGCTGTGCTCTGCATGTTGGTGCGGTGCCCTTCCTGGGCTGTGTGGCAGACACCTACCTGAAGTCATGAATCTTCCTTAGCATGATAGCCAGATGGATGAAGCTTCCAGGAGAAAGCTGGAGCCCATCTTTGGCCACAACCCTTCTACAGAAGCTCTTTCTGAGACCCCAAGTGCTCAGTTCTCATTTAGAGTTTGGCTCATAGCACTGCCTGGCAAAATAAAGGCCACTAAAATGCGTGTAACATGTTCACAGAGTGGCATAGAATCCTTTGTTTAAAAAAAAAAAGAATCCAGGAGACTGGAAAAAATTTCATTTTCAGATTGAAATAGCTGGTGAGATTTCATTTTCCTCTGGAATGGAAAGGTGCTTTCCTTTCAGCTCGTGTTGCCACAGGCAATGGCCTCTGCCACACACGGCACGAGCCTTTCAGTGCTCCGAGTAGTGCAGGACTGAACCGGCCACGCCTAGAGTGAAGCAGCCCCCCCAGGTCCCTGTGGCTTTTCTCCCTTTGCAGTAGTTGCCTCCTTGTTCCAGATGCTAGCCAAGGCACACGGCAGCTGCTCAGCCTACCCCTCCTCCTGGCAATTGAGATCGGCCAGCGATTACCGGAGTCAATCACCCCTGGGTGATGACGAGTGCCTGGCTAGGAAGCTGCTAGTGCTGCAAGTCCTGAGCCTGGACTCTGGTACTGCGGTGCAGGATGCTTATTTGCATTTAACTGATTTTTTTTCAACTTGCTCCAATGCACTTTAGCAGTCTCTTTCTTTCTTAGTGGTAAAACTATACTTTAGAGACAAACCTAAGTATAAAGCCTGGATCCAAAATACCTAATAGGAAGAGATCTGACTGCAGAATATAATTTCTTAGGTTGGACCCATCTACCCTTAAATCTGTGACAGCATTAGCTGCCTTGGAAATAGTTTTGTCAGAAAGGGGGGAATATAAAACAATTTAAGAGATTCCTGATGTTAAATATGGAAGTTAAACATCTCAGGAGCAGCAGTAGCTATTCTGGTGACCATGTGTCTAACTTCTCTAATTATGAGAAGAGGATCAGCTCTGAAAAGATCATCAATAACATTTTCTGCAGAAAGCAGTTCCCCAGCCTGCTTTGGGGTAGAGAATATGATGACAGCAAATCCTGCTGGGAGGTTTCATGCCTTGAAGAGATTTCCTATTTCTTATTTCTGCATATAGCCATAACTCTGGCTTGCTTCCTGGTCCTTCAGCTATTCTCACTGAAGCACGAAGGGCTTCATGGGCATGAAGAAAGAACACACAAGACTAGATTAGTGTTGTCAAAATACCTTTTAATTATCATTTCCACTGTGAATAATCACCTGCAGTCAAAGGGTAGACCTGCTTTATACTTTAGCACCCTGATGGGTTTAGAGAGCTTTTTGCCCGTGCTGTGGGAGAAGGATGGGGTCTCCTGCTCTCTTTCTTAAAGAGTGCCAGTCTTACAAGACACTTCACCCTTCATATCAATAGAAAAAGATCTTCCCTGGACACTGAAGATGCACATCCTCACTTCAGGTTCTGTCTACCCTCCATTATTCAAGCAGGCTTTATTCAGTTTTCTGACATGTCCCAGTGATCAACACATTCTGACTAAATTCTCTTCCAAAGCCTTTCCTATCTGCTTGGCATGACACGGAAAGGAAGAAAAGTGCATAATTAAGCAATATGATACAACAAGCTTTGCATTACTGGCAATTAATGGAGCCTTCAGGCAAGCTTCTGAGGCACAAATCCAAGCCATAAGTGGCTGCAACTACCTGAGAAGTGCAGTAATCCCTCCAAGTATTCAGTACCTCAGGTGTCTGAGAGCTAATAGAAAATGGCATTTACAAATAGGAACAAGTTCTTTTTGTGCTTTACTTGAGTCTTAATAGTATTGTTATTATATTACTGAAAAGTAATATGAAATCTATGACATTTTCAGCTATCACGA